CCTCCATCACCGCATCTCAGGTGAGCGGGTAACGAAAGTGACTAGACTCTCAAGAACAGCACGTTACGCCTTGGTCTCGGCACCATCTGAGGTCCCAGTTCGAAGGCTCCCATGTTGAGACTCCTTGTATTTTGTCTCTTCTGCAGCAACACAAACTGTCTGCACCAGCCATCCAGTTTACATATCTCAGTCCTCCCATCCAACCCTTCTCTTACATCAAAACACACCCAGGCTACACATATCATTCGTGAGCTTCAAGCATTACGATTGTTTGAATCCCGTTTGGGTCAGCCTCCAACCCTTCTCATAGCTCTCCCCAGGGCACGAAGCATTGTCGAGCGCTCTCTCTATCATCCCAAGCCGAACACCAACATCCTCGCAACGTGCATTCCACAGCTTCTAGTCGGAAACTCTCACGGCAAGCCAACCATGATGAGTCAAATACTGTCTCGCAGTCATCAGAGCAAACCGGGCCTAGCCAGAGCTGCTACTGGTAACGGCATAAACATGGACGTACAGCATGAACTGCACAGTCTCGATGACATCGCTTCCTCTCGACCGGTTGCATTGAGTGAGCTCTGGAATAGAGCAAGCTTGCGTGGCAAGATCACAAAGCCACTGAAGCCCCTGCAGATTGGTGGTAGACGAATTCGCGATGTAAACGAGGTCTCAACTGACACTGAATCCGTTGTTGTCGCACAATGCAAGCCTCGTGCTCACCTTACTCCGATGCACCGCTCTTATACCGAGGCGGGTCACCACGAGGGTCAACAAACTGAAATGTTGCAACGCTCCCGTATTCGTTCGGAAGCATACTATTTGAAATACGCATATGAGGCGAAAGAGCACCTCTGGCATGAAAAAGCCGATGCTCATGTTCAGCAGAACCCCCTAAGCTACTGCGACGGCTACGATCCTTCCTATCTTCAGTGTCTCCGCCACGATTATCGCAGCGTATCAGATGGGCTTTTCTTCAAACATCAGAACTTCTTGCAATCCGAACATGCTATCTGGCCTGCAGAGCCGTGCGCGGCGCCCAACAACCCTCGCGCTGTCTCCTACGAGCAATGCCCCGTCTCTGATCACCAGTACATACCGGAGTCGTACATCGAGCTCCCGCATGGCGGCATCGACAATGGATATGATCAGTCAGGATGTGGGTCGCTGGAGACTCCAGTTTACCATTATAGCCAGAGAGACGTTCATAGGGCGGCCCTCCCGATTGAGAATGCGTATTCCGACCAAGCCCAGGTCAATTATACCAGCCACGACCCCGTTCAAGCCGATGCAGAACTTTTAGAGGTCGTTCGTCAAAAGTTTCTGGGAAAGATCTCTAGTTCAGCTCGGGCAAAGATTTCAGGCACTACGGAAATTCAGGCTTCCGACCCTGTTCGAGTTTCCCTGCCGTCTCATGACAGGAAGCCAAGCTCTGCTGAGAGCGATTCGTCCAAAGCTAGCAGCAAACGATCGATAAAAGAAGAGGCAACTGCCTTCCTTCAAAGCGTCGTTGAGAATTCTCAACGGGATACCAAAGGAACCAGGCCTCAGGATCTGACGGTGCAGTCCGACGAGCCTGTTATTGTTCGGCTACAACAAGAAAACCACGAATCAGAACACATAAAATCACAGTCTGTTGGCATGTGTGACCGTCATGCAAGCTTCGAGGACGCACACCCAGTCAACCAACAGGTCAACCTTCCGCAGAAAGGTACCAATTCGCTTTTGAAAGCGGGCACTGATGAACCCCTTCCTCGCACCACGAATCATCATCTTGTTCATAAGGGAGATGGAGCAAAGGACAAGGAAGAGAAGCCTTACGATAGGGTGCTTATAGCCAACAGCAAGGCTGTCGCACCTCCACCGGGGCTTCCACTGCCCTTGGAACAACAGAGGACTACTGATTTCTTGCTCTTCGATACCTTGGCACCAAACAGAGCTAGGGTCGAGGAAGCGAATTCCTGGTTTCATACCGATAACCGAGGTGCCAGTGAGCTCCGGCAGCTGGTCTCATCCATAGCTTATGATCACGTTGAGAGAGAAGCATTGCTCCACGGTACTTCTCGCCCTACTTCAGCGACTACAACGGCATGGCAGACGACTCTGCTTCTGGGAAATGTTATTGCCAATCTTCAATTGCATGCGTTCAGTGACCCTACCAAGCAGACAGACTACTTTTCAAATTACGGAGTGGTCGACTCGGGCTGTTGCGAGCCCAGCCATGGCGGACGCCGCAGTTATTTCTTTCAGGACCCTGCAGTTACCAATTGGAAACTTCCAACCGACCGAGCCACCCCAGAGATTAGAATCGAGTCAGAAGATGAACTCGCCGGGCCTCAAGTCAACGGCGGTCAACCTTCTGGTACTTGGTAGAAGCCTTGAACAGTTTTGTGGTAATCCTTGCTTTAACTGAACCTGTAAATTGGTAGATCACGCAACAGGCTCGCAAGCATGGATAGCATGGATAGCATGGATAGCATGATAGAGGATGGGGCTCTATATGGTGATGGAAAAGGAGAGAAAGAGGATGGAGCTTTTACAAGGCAGATGGCTCAGTGGATAGCTTTGGGGTTCTGCAGTGTAGTCAGAAGATCTATGTTACCTTGCAAGTTTTCAAAGCTCTACACAACCTGGGAACTACGACTTTTCTTCCACAGTTGGTAAAACTTGGTGCCGGTCCGTTATAGGTGTCTAGGGCTGATTTTCTATGGGAAAGCATTCAAATAGTCTTGGATCAACGCATTAATCCTTTAGGCAGTCGTGTTCTCTTCTCTCCTCTGTCTGGTATCTCCCAAGATCGAGTCACAATAGCCTTGAAATGTATAGTTTCAGTGGCCTGCTCCATTCAGTTGGTGACCGGTCGTTTCTTTCCTCATCTTCCTCCTTTGAGCGGGAATCTTTTGCTTTTGTACTACTATCTAGGAAAAAAGTCTATCCTTGGCCTTCAAATTTCATCAAAAAGCTTCAAGCTGATCTTTGTGTTCACAATCAGATAACCCAAGCATCATACATTTCGCAGCTCCCCCATCATACTTATCACATTCAATACAAGATTTTGTCACAACTTCTTTTTATTATTCAAAAGGTCTTCATGTTCCATTCAGCATCCGAGGAGCCTATGCGGCCTGAGACAAGTATGTCCCAGCCGAGACGGTCTTCGCTCAGGTCTTCACACAGCTCATCAACCAGCTGCTGGTCATTCCAAGAACTCAGCCATTGTGTTGACGATCCATAGCTCCCGGATTTCGTCCAAGAGGCCATTAGAAACAATGATTCGCGATGCCCAGTTTCAGTGATCAGGGATCGGAACATTCTCGAGCACAACAGTAGACATATGCACTGTTACATTCCTCATATTCTTCCTTGCAGTGACTACCAGCAAAAAGTCTGACTATAATCACTAGCTCTACCCCAATGGTACTACGCATCTGCTGCATTGGTTCTTCTATTTGCTTCAGATCGCATTGAACTCCATTTTGGCCACTGGCCCCTAAGTTCTAGCGGTATATAGCATCAAAGACATGGCCGGGCTTTACGCTCTTTCTAGCTTCTCGCAGTTGTTTTCTGAAGATATCAAGCCATATATGGTCGAAAGGCCGTATAACAGCTACTTCGCAGGAAGGGCTACCGAGAGAAACCCTTGATATATGCTCTGTTTCGCGGAATAGGAGGACATTAGCAGTGAATTGAAGGTCCATCTGGTCTCTGAGCTATTTTTCCCAGCTGTGAATGTAGCATATCACTGTGCAGGGCTTAACCCAGTGTTTGCCCTAGGGGTGGAAAGTGCTTTTCTTCTCCCTGCACTCGCGCACACAACTAATCTTCTTCCTAACACAGTCCCCTCATCTTCCTTCAAATCTCTCCATTTCATCCTTTACTATTACTTCTCCAGCCTCGAGTTCTTCATCAACCTTGACCTCTTCATCTATGACTCTTTCTTCCTGTTGTTGTTAACTGGCCATTCTGTATCTATCAAGCGTACCATAATCAATATCGAAAGGATACAGTCAGTTCCATCATTTTCAGTGAAAGTCTTGACAGTACACACACTACAATAATATAGGAAGTGTCGTCAGCTCTGCCTTTTCGAAGAAAGTTCAGCACTGAAAATAGTTTCAATAACGCTTGGGATAGGCATTCATGCCATGTACTGTCCTCGAGAGATATAGATTCTAGCATGAATCTACGGAGTACAGTACCAATAAGATTTCAAGAGAAAACCAATAATCTATTATTTTGCAAAAGAGTCAGAAATTGAACTTGAATCAACGCATCATCTGGTTAACCTCTAAGGCTAAGCGGTTTAATGAACCTGTTTCCTAACTCTATTATTTTCGTTATGTAGCTACCATGATATTCTGTAAATGAACCTGTTTCCTAACTCTATTATTTTCGTCATGTAGCTACCATGATATTCTGTAATCTGAGCTCCTTCCCACGGAGCAAGTAGTGTTGGACTCTTACTGTATTAGCATGCAATATGCCTAGTCTTCAAGAAGCCTACGATACTAGCATTCGATATTCTCACAAGTATAGACCGTCAAACTCTGAATTTGTTAAGATAACTACGTAGTGCCTCATGCAGTTGGTAACCCTTCTCGAAAGCTTGTGACGTTAGCAACCGCCGTGTCAGGGACTAATCTAGTAGAGTAAAGCTAAAATTGCTCTTAGGCTAATTTACATCTGCTCCTGTGGCGGTTAAAGCAGTGCATGAAGGTACAAAAAATTTTGACGTCGAGTTGTATATTCAGTCTGCCGTACGTAGACCTGCTTCTAGAGAGCCTGAGGCATCTCAAACACAACGTTCCTACGATACAGAGTACCAAGTCCTATGTTGGTCGTCTACGCCGTTTTTAGATCAAGAGAGTATTAAGGAAAGCGCAGTGTCAGCCATCAAACCACTACGCCAAAAAGGTGTCTAGACGACCATTTCTAGCATAGTACAAATGATAGGCTTATTCTGGTTAACACGCAGTCTCATTGTTGAATCGACAATCTACTACTCAAATAACCGAAACAATACAGGTTCGTCGTCCACGCCCGTTTCTTTCGAGGGTCCGTAGTCTCTCCTCAGCAAGTCGTGCTTCGAACATCTCGCGCTCCTCCTGGGCACGTAAACGCTCTTCCTGTGCAATCATCGACCGTAGGCGCATCTCGTTGGATTGACGTCTGAGGGCTTGGACATCGTTCCCCTCAACGTAATACGCTGCTCTCATTGCCACATCGCGCCCAGGGCTACGGCGATCCCTGTATCCACGCTCGATGGACAAATCTGGGTGCTCAGGGGAGTGTGATCGTTCCCGTTCCCGATACAGTTGGAGGGCGAACTCGTCATATTCGCGAGGTTCCGATGGGGCCCTTTGGTCCCCGAAGTCCTCCATCATCTCCACGTCTTCGTGGCCGGCCTCTTCTTCATCTTGTGGCGGCGCTGCAGACAACCCAGGCAGTGACTGAGGCGCTTGGCTGTACGAAGCGCACTGGGGTAACGCGACCCACGCTCTGCGTGCCGAAAAGGCCTGCGACTGTACCAGTACCCCCGCCAAGAGGATCGGTCCGAAAAGGTCTCATCTTCTGATTGAGATGGTACTGGGGGTGGGAGGACTTGGGAATATCGACTGCATAACAGGTAATAAGCATATGAAATATAATTGTGTATCTTGAACATACCTCGCTCTGCTGCAGTACTGGCACGGCTGCAACAGCCGGATCGAGGACCTGGCTTGCTAAGCTCCCTTTTCTTGACGCTCCCAGTCTGCGTTGATCGGAGTTTGCGCTGTCGATTCTGACTTGTGCAAGCTGATAGGCTGGAGTTCGGAAGCGAACAAGTTGGCCACACCACCGCTGAAGTGGAGTGTGTTTGCTCAGAGCTGCAACAACAGCCTCCGCGAGATTGTCGACGCCCTTATTTGAGCCAGCGACAAGCAGGACCTTCAAATTCAATGCCATGAGCAAGAGGATGATGACCACAGCAGTTCTTGTTTTTCCTGTTCCAGGTGGCCCTTTGATCAGGTTGACACCGCAGGTGATCTCAAAGGTTGACTTTTAAGAAAGCCCGTCGCTGAGTCTCATACACTGGTAGCTCATGCCAGGGTGGAAAAAGGCCTCGACCCAGAATGGATCATGGTCGAGGTGCACATCGGTGGTAGTATCATGAAGAGCAACTTCAATGAGTTGCGCATCGTCGGCAAAAGGCGCATTGCAGTTCAGGCACTGAGACATGATGGCTATTATCATATTAGCAAGTCTGATGACTGAAAAAAGGGAAGAAGAGACAGGGGTTTTTAATAAAGAATAACAGATTAAAGATAAAGAACGGGAGGCCTTACCTGAATAACCCCAGGGGGGAATTTTCCAGGATATAAGAAATTCTCTCGGCTTGCTGCTGTGGAAGAATCTTGGACATCTTGCGGGCGTCGAGAAGAAAGTAGAAATCGCTGATAGGGTCCAATTCAACTCCGTGGGCGAGTACTGTTCTTTCTGTTCTTTTCAGCAAAAGTCCCTCCCCTTCTTTGCCTTCCAGCTCTCCCCAGGATCTGCATAAGCTCACTTCCCCAAGCGCCTTGATCTGCTCATCGATTGGCATGGTGTTTGGCTTGACGAATGTGACAATCTCAATTTCACGATGCTGGGGAATGTCGCTCTTCACGAGAAGAACAAGATCGCCAGAGCTGTGTGTCTCAACAGCAACCCCTTTCTGGTTCTGATCGGTCTTGACGTATGTCCGGGCCTCCTCAGCTACCTCGAATTGAACCTCGGTTTCACCCTCTACTGCTTGGAGCTTGATATGGACAAAGAAACTGTCTCGCAATGACTCTGTTTTCGCTGGAGTGTACCATGCTCGGTGACGGCGAGATGGATTAAAAACGTTGGCGACCAACCAATACTGAGTATCTTTCTCGATCCTGGACGCCTCGACCAACCTGCAGTGTCGGTCATAGTCATCGATGAAGAATGCATCATGAGGAATCAACCGAGTATTTGCCTCTTTGAAGGGTCCTTTTCTTTTGTGAAGAGCCATGGCATTGGTGGACTGCGACCCTCTCCGTCCTTAGGGGGATTCTAACGATACCACCAGAATGCTTTTTCAGTTGCGAGGCTACCCAGCACTGTCAGCCATTGGATTGTATCTGGCACAGTTTTGAATTTCGGGTCGAAATACCTGGAAAATGAAGACGCCTTCTGCTTGTTCTGCCAAGCTCTCGAGGTAGTGCCAGTCAAGGTCATCGTTGCAGACCATGCTCCCTCCATTCTCACAACTATGGGATCGATGCGGCACAAGATGTTGAAGTAATACACCCGAGGCCAATCTTGGAAGCATTCGGGCCATTGATGCCCTTAATTGTCAGATCTCCTCCTCCCTTTTGTCATCGCCTGTTGCACCCTCAATTCCCGCATTCAGAGAGCAGTTTTGAGGCGGGATAACTAAATGCCATCCGCTTCCTTGGTGTTGCGTGCGGAGGACCAATCGAGGTTGCTGCGAGTCGAGTATGACTTGGACTTTGGCATTGAGCCAACCCTTGGCGCTAGCAATGCGGCAAATGCGCCATTTTCCACAAGCCTTGTAAAGCGTAGAGGATTAGTCTTTGCCTTGTGGCTCCTTGAACCAGTTCTCGTTGTAGATCGAGATGTTCGCCATTATTGCGGCACGGTGAAAATCTACCGGTAGTATTCAAAGTTAGAACACCCAGCGTTGAATGATGGAATTGACATAAAAGCTTACCGAGGTGGATATGACTAAAGTTCGGATGTCGATCGATTTGAGAGTTTCGAGTATTGACGGCTCACTAATTAAAGTGAGCTACACGCTTTACAGAACACGCCCAAATAGCTGCTTACCGCTGAGTCCAGTAGGAATACGGTTCGAGAAATCAAGGAAAACCGAACCCTCTAAGAGAGATAGCTAAATGTTCGTCAGTCAGGATTTCCAAAGCTTTGATCGGTTAAACTCACCAAGGCGAAAATTCAGGAAAACCGAACTCTACGACAGCCGGGGCTATCGACGCATCAGCAATGCATATGAAAAACGAGAGATGGAGCTACTCACCTTGTGCGTACAACTGACGCAAATCAGACTCTCTACGAGAGCCGCTGCACTGTCAGATGCTCTGGACGTTTCGTACTAGAAAGTCGGGATAGTTACGCAAAAAATCAACAGAGAGAGTCTTCGAGCCACGATTCAAGCAGAGGAAGGAAGTGTAGAAGGGCTGGACTCGGAGCATCAAAATGGCAGTACTAGGAGCATGGGGAGGCCACGAGGAGGAGAGGAGGAGAACACAAACGGGAAGCAGATTTAAAATATCTGCCAGAAGAAGTGCGTCCATTGGTCTCTCATGCTTGGTTACTGCATCTCATGTTGGCATCTATGGTAAGGCGGAGTACCAGGTGTCCCGGTGCGCGGATGTGCTTCGCATCGAAGATGTCGAAGGGACCAAAGCAATGCAATGTCAGAAAGCCACTCTCCTCAGGAGTCATTGAGTCGGAATGCTCATCCAGATATTGCTTATAACCATCGCCGGGCTTTGCGAAGGTAACGAAGACCTCTTGTCGATGCTGGCTTATCAAGATGTACCTAACCTGTTATTAGAAACTGAGAGTACTGATCTCGCAACCTCTTGCGCCAGCACTTACGGGGACACTTCTTTATTGTCATTGTCATTGATAGGTTGGCCGATCCATGCTCTCGGTTCCCATTTGCATGAGGGTCTTTTGGGCGTTCTCGAGCAAGATGAACGGTTTGACTTCAACAATGGCGGAGTTCTGACTGTCACTTGGTGTTTCTCGTTTGGACAAGCGGCCATCTGTCTTTGCTACAATCGTAGCATTTCCCAGCTTGACGGTCATACTTTGTCTATGCGGATCCCACCGCAGATTCCTTGCTTCCTTGCAATAATAGCTCAACATGTCGAGGAAATTCACAAGAGCCATGTTCACGGTTTCCTCGTCCTTTGTTCGGGCGAACACGTGTTTCGCTGAGTCGGGATACGCCGCAGAGAAGTTGGATAGTCCGCCAGCCGTGGTATTACCCGTTTGATTAGTTGGGCTGCACGCCCCACGCGTAGAATCAGCATCATTGCTAGGGTCGTTGCTCCGCGTCTCCGCGTCGGGCATAGTTTCGACCGCTGGTAAGTTTTCTACCGTTGCCGTTGGAGTTCCGACTTTCCTTAACCTTGTTCTTGTCCTAGTCGATATAGGACCCTCAGGCGGTTGACTACCCTCAGGCGATATATTACCTGGAGACGGGTCCGTGGGTATTTCGTTGCCGATGCGGAGCTGAAACGATCGAGTTGAGGTAAACTTGCCGACGTCTATCTTGTCGTCATTATCCGTGCCCGCGTTCTCTTTAATATCACGAGATTCTCGACAGAGCGCTTCAGTGTTCACAGATGAAACTGCCGAAACACTGGATCGTCCCTCTGAAATAGAGCGGTCACATCCCCGTTTAGCATCTGATATCTGGTGAGTTCTTTAAATCAAAGATTCAGAAAGAGAAGGCTGTTGACAGAAAGTTGTCTTACAGAGAGAGGGATGAGGGGTTTAAGTAGACGCCATAGCTTATGCTATGGAGGAAGACTGTGAATAAGAATAGGCCATGATATAGATGACCAAGTAAATATAGCATCGGGGCATATAGAAGTGACTGGAAGAAAGGTCATTCACTGGCTTATTGCTTTGAGCATTCGATATAAAAAATAGAAAATGGCAAGCAGTGAATGCATGAGATAAGTGATTAAACAAGACAGAGAGGTGTACGTTATAGAAGCCAATATATATGTTTCGGGAGGCTGCTAGTGAGGAGAGGCAAGAGCACGTAGGTGGAAGTTGTGGTATAGAATGCCAGGTCTACCGCAGCCCAGGAAAGTGGTTCGCCACTCTCTCCAGTATGATAATGGATGATTGCTTGATACTGCTACAGATACAGAGACCATAATGTGCCAATACTGCCCAGCTCAAACTCTTTGTCGTGGAGAGATAAATGAAAAAAGATTGTGTATTGAAACAGACCATCTGCAACAGCATTCAGGGCCCTAGGGCCCCAGCACCTCTCCATTGCCTAAACAAAAAAGTACGAAACTGTCAAAAGGAATACAACAAATACGAGCCTGCAGGTATTCACATTGTGTAGATCAAATAACGTTGGGATATTATTACTTCTCAGCTTTTGTTTACAACTGCAACCAAGCCCTCACAAATGGTAAGGCTGGACACTGCGGGCCCTATGCCAGGCATTGGATAATTCTACTTGTGTAGGCTTGCTGCTACGAGAGATGTAATGTGATCTGTCCACAGTCCGGCATTCCAGAATACATGGGGCAGTAGGCAAGCCTCCTGGGTGGCTGGCGAATGGTTCCTCAATTAGAGGCCGGAGCCCAGAGATGAACTGGACATACACCTTTTCCTTCTAAGTTCTTTCTTCGTTTGAGAGGTAACCTGGATGCACAATGTACGAGTTGTAGTCCGGGGCTAGCAGGGTTCGCCAGTGGAGCGAGCTATAAAAACCACAGTGAGGTGAGCGGTCTGATTCAGTAAATCAGAACAGAGTGATACTAGGTAGATGCTCCTTCATGAAAACCTGCAGAGCTAATCATACAGAGAGCCTCGCCTCTTGAGCTCAAGAGGAATCAAAGGTAAGACGGCGAATATACACCAGCATATGTACAGCACACATGACAGTCTATCGACAAACGCTTAGGATCACAAATGCACATTCCCACCCCAACCTCCAATCGTGATCGTATCAGCCTTGTTGCTGACCAGTTTCAGCTTGGGGCATTGACTCTTCGGCTTCAGGAACGCATGCCCAACTGCAACCAAACCTTCGAAACGGCAAGGGGCGGAGCTGCTCCCCAGGACACCGAGGTCTCTTGAGCCCGTTCTCATAGGTACTGCAGTCCCACCATTCAATCCATTCGGTGCGAGGAATTACGAAGCTGCGGTGACATATTGAGCAGCTTCTACCGCCGGCATTTCTGACACCCTTAGCCTGTCGAAGGAGGCGAACCATTAGTTCCGGATAGCCGATCATTTCGGAGTCGGATATCTGGTCGCAATAGACCGACTGGCTGAAAGCCAGGAGAGACACCTCACGCAGAGAGGGCACATGAGACGGCGCATACCCCGAAGATCTCGAATGCAAGTTACTGCTTTGCCCATCCGTTATGGGAATACCTTCCATGTTGAACCGTCGGACGGGGCTGATCGCCACTTGAATGGGGGCCCATGCTTCCTCGGGTGCGGGGCCTTCGTAATGGCACGACTTTAACGCTTCCTCCGGCGACGCTGCCTCGCTACCATCGGGGGAGTACCACCTTGTAACTTCTACCTCATTGATCTGAAGAAGAGGGTTGGGCCGCACCATCAGATGTTTCAGGTCACCCTTCTTGATCAACCATAATAATTCCCAGGGAAGACATCGCAGGCGATTGACTGCAAGGTTAACCTCTTGCAGCATTGTCAACTTTCTTATAGCGGGAGGAATCTCTGTCAGCTTGTTGTTCCGCAAGCTGAGAACTCTGAGTGAGTCGAGTTCGAATATTTCTCCCGAAACTGCAGTAAGCGCGTTGCCAGCAAGGAATAGACGGAGAAACGGTTTCAAGGAGCTGTAGCCCTCTTCCGATATTGGAGGCTCTCTGACTGATGGCAACTTGGTGAGATATTGAAGCGGAAGCAGCAAGCCCGACGGAAGCGCTCTCAGATTGCCATTGCTGCAAGAGTTAGCGCAGCTTCACACGACTCAATCAGGGATGATCTCACCTCAAGTCGACGCTGTCCTGCCCTTTTTCGAGACATTCATTGACAATCGTTCTAGCGAGCTGATGCTCCCTCGGCTCCTCCACCTTCCTGAAACCCCCCGGCTGTGGTACCGCCTGACGCAGCCGTAAATTCCCAGATTGTGAACTGATCGCACCCATCTGTCCCTCATCTCCCATCCCAGCCGGTGTAGAACCCTTCATATTCCTCATCAAGTCCTCCCCCCACATCAACGCATCCTCAGACGGCAAAAGCGACTCCGCCGTCGACTCATCACTCCCCATCCATACACCGCTATCTACAAGCCGTTTGTCCTTAAAATCCGCCCTCTTCCGCTTCGGATCGACTGCCATCTCTCCCCACCAGGTCCCCCGGTAGCGTCGTTTCCTGCCCGCTGCAGCTCCGGAGGAGACGGGGGCGTTGTAGTTTTCGAGACCAGACGCAGGGATATCATCGCTGGAGAAAAGCGCAGGGTCACTGGACGGCTGGCTGGAGCGGTCATCAAAGCGCGAGAGTCGGTATGTCTTTTTAAATGAGGAGCCGGATGGAGGTTTCGCAGCGCAGGAACTGGCATTGGCGGGGGAGCGGTGCCGGATTCGTCGCGGCGGAGGAAGAGGGACTTCGCTATCCATGCTGGGCGCAACTCTTTTTTCAGTATATTTCAAGAATTGGTTATTAGCGAAAAACAATGAGATGAAATTTTGTTTCTCTTTGACCACGCCGCTTGTTTTGGACTGTGGCGCGTCACCTCCGCAGTGGGGAAGCGAATCTGCGACGGACGTCAACAGGCCTTAGCGAGCAGGCGCAATCAATACCACGAGGGAGAATCTGAGGTCAGGCATGCCGAAACCATGACATGACGTCTGAAAGAATGTGGAATCAGATAATCTGTCCGACAGGTGACCGTCAACCAGTGGTCAGTCGACTGTTTACCCAAAACGGGGCACGCGTCGGCTTCCACCACGCGCTCTGCCAATCGGGCCAGCCGTTCCTCATTGAACAACTCCACTTGGTGATCAGACGGGAGCATTAAGCATTGAGCATTGAGCATGCTCATTTTGATCGGCGAACTATACTATCTAAAGGTCAACATAGGGAATTGATCTTATCGATCTGATGCACTGGTAATTTCTGCCTGTGGTGTAACATGACATTAGCAGAAATGCAATCAGACGAAACGAAGCCGACGGTTTATCTATGGAAGGAGGGGGAAAAAAGTGCATCTTGACCAGCAGCTTTGAATTGCTATTTAGTTGGCCTATGTACTACGCTATATGCAACATAATAGTATCCTCCAAGCTCAACAAACCACCTCGCAAGTCGAATGAAACCAAAACTCCGTGATCATAACCGGATGACCGGTAGACATCATGGAGGTAAAAGGGGAATAATCACCATCAACTCGTAGAAGAAGTCGTAAAGGGGGTATATGAATCCAAAGCGCCTCGACCACCTGCCTCATTCTTCAAATCGTAAAATCTCAGACGAGGGGGAAGAAGAAGTTGTAAAGAAGAAAAGAAGAATCAAAGGAATATATATATTCCAAGAGCGCAGTCGAGGGTAACAAGGCGATATACCATGAGGGCATCGCCTGCACTTCACTTGCGCGCAGAAGAGAATTTGATGAACTCGTCCGCAAGCTGAATGGGTGCGACGAACGCAATGTTGATCAAGTCCAGCTCTTGAATTGTACTTGTCTGTAACGGAAACAAAAGTCGGATGGCTGTTCATTCAATTACAGCGCAGCACCCAGAAGGATGACAACGGACCCGGCGACAAGCGCGACAGGTATACTGACATCGGCAACACTTCCCGCTCCGGAATGATTCACGACGGCAGATGCGGACGGGGTGCTGGACGCAGGAGTCGAAGTGGCAGCAGCACTGCTGCTGGCAATCCAGCTGCTTGAAGGAGTTGCAGAGCTCGAGGGAATGACATAGGAGCTGACGCTTGCGGAGGCTCCTGGGGTTTCCGAATTCACGCGAACCAGCGTCTTGGTGAGGGTGTGGGTATAGGTCGAAGTGACGGTATCTGCGGCGACAAGCTGGGTCGCAGCCAGGCAGAGCACGGACGAGACGATGGCGTTGATCTTCATATTGACGGTATGGATCGCCGGGTTTATAAACACTTAGGAGATTGATGTTGAGCACGCGACAGCGCTATATTCGTATGAATCAATCGAGCTATCCTTATCCGATGTCAAGGATTGGGGACGCAATGCGCAAGAGAGCAAGGTGTGTAACCGTGAGATTGGAACAGGCACGGTAATTTGCGATGGTTGCGCAGGGTTGACCAAGGTTGAATGACTGGGATGAAGGAGTGACTGAGATTTCAAGAATCGGTACGCGAACGAGTGAGCG